AAACAAAAATCGGAAAAAAATTCATTTAATTCATAGTGCAGCTTAAGATGATCTCGCAAACTTACAAAAAGAAAAGTAACAAACTAAATTAAGTGTTGCGTCGGATCGATCATACACATTTTGGAACTAAATTAGACCTTAAAAACATGTACTCTATTACATTTTATAAGAGAATTGATCATTGAGTATAACACTTTAGATTAATAAAACTTTTATTACTTTGAACTCTTTTCGTTTCCATTTCTAAGCCTCTTCCAAGCTGTTAATCAACTAAATGTTATAATGATCGATTAATTGATGGGCAAATTGTAAATCAAAGTAACATAAGATGTTCTTAAAAAGGCGAAAGTTTGAGTGAAATCAACTAACAATGTACGCTCTTATATTGTTTGTGTGAATTTTTGTTCGTTCATTTATTATTGTTGGAGTTCTGATATGTTTTGGCAACTCTGTGCGCGTGTTGTGCTCGTATTTTTTACTTTTTGTGTAAAAATTTTGTAATTTCATTTTCATTTTATTGCTTGATTGCTTTGTGCGGTTTTAAAGCCTAACTAATTCTAAAAGTGCTCAGACTTACTGTAATATACTTAAACTTTTCGTATTGATGTCGTTTTGGTTTTTGCGATCATCAATTAGTGCTCTCGTGAAAAGTGTCTGTCTTGTTTTTTGCGTGATGTTGCTTTCAAAGGTCTGCCTTAGCTCGTGTCATTTACAGTTTTCCTCTTTGTTCACTGTTGTAATCGTGCTAATTTCGGCGGTCATTTTTAAATACGAGACACACTTTTTTGTTTTTTCTTGCTTTACAAACTCTATTTCCTCTGTGGCTTTCTGACATGGAGTGTTTACGGGCCCTAAATCTGAATGATTCATTACTGGTTGACTTTGCGGACGTTTTTGTCGTGCGAAGTGCGCTGGTATCAACGATCATGCTGAAAATGCAGTCCTAGATCCTTCGGAAGCGGAACATTGACTTTATTGACTCTTCAGTAGCAAAAATTTCGTGACATTGTTCGTAAAGTTTCAAAAAAATGAAAACAATGCTCCATGAGTGTCGCTATCTAGAATACTCACCTCCTGCTCCAGCCTGTAATAAACCAACTTGTAGTGTCGCGTGCAGTACTTCACCTCCACTTTCGCCTAAAGATCACACCTCGATCCACGTTAATTGCCACTATTCTTATTTTCCTCATTGTTAACGATAAAACTTGTGAACCTGCCATTGACGAATCCGGTTAAGATTTCGAGTGCTTTGTCCTCGTCTACAAACAACATTAGCGTTTCCTCTATCGCAAACGCATCTGGTAATTTAAATGTTACAAATAAGCCGGGAAGCCCTCTTCGTGTCAACTATACTAAGATGGCAATGGTATCTCCTCCCAGTAGTGCCATTCAGGCTACTCTGTCTACATCTCCAAAGAATATTCATAAGAATAATAAATCAGCCTCTCCTCATAGCTGCTCGAGTATATCCGAATTTATATATCATCATGCTGGACAAGCCGCGCAATTTGCGCAAGAGAATGTAGTGACTCCCTCCATTTCTCCCCAACAACTTTCTGTCTGTGAATCCCGTCGTTCCTAATACAGATGACTTCTGCTTGACAGCAGTACACCCCAGAAAAGCAATATGCGTGTCAAGATTGGCGCCTGACACCTCTGAGGATAGCGGAAAAAGTTATCTTGCTGATAAGCTCCGTCCCTCAATTCAAAGTGTGTTAACATTTTCAAATTGGCTTCATATCAAAATTCAGCTATTTCTTCTTTTAAAGTGGCAGTTCCGACTGAAAGCATAAAAACTTTGTTAAATAAACAATTGTAGCCAGATGGATCCTTAGTTAAAGAAATTCGATTGTCCCCGTAACAATAATTCGGGGCTTCTTTGACTCTCAAAAAACTAAATGATTTTTCAGGTCCAGTGATTTTCGTTTACTAATATTTTAGCAAGGAGCTTTACTGTTTGGCTTTGATTGAAGCCTGCTTAAAGCCCGATTTAGACTTGTCGGAACTTTTTAACAATTCTTTCCAGGCTTTTAGAAAGAATCGATTGGATTGCACTGGTGGTTTAATTGCTGAATCTGTTGCAGTCCCATCCTAGTCATTTGATTTTGCTACTCCTCCTGACGTTGAATTTACTGCCATTCCGGCGCAAAATTGGCAGCAAACAGTTATATGCAGCTTGTTCCTATATTCTCTCAAATACGTATATGTCCGTTTATAAGAGACATGCTGCAGTCAATCGTGACGTGGCCGAAAAGTCTAAAGCTGCTGATATAGTCATAACGTTGGGGGAATCCAATTTGCCGCAAGTGACTTGTTGTTATAGCGATAATTCCGGCTGCATGGTCGTCACTTCAACCTCTGTTAGATCTCTTACTTTTTTCAGTGAGTTGTTTGATCATAATTTACTTCAATAGCTGTAAATCGCTATCCATCTGTTAGTTTACCTGATGATCCGTATACTCCAGCAATTTGCATTTCCTTTCATTACAGGCATGATGATCCGTTGAATTACTTTAATACGTCAAATTCAACTTCCTCAAATAAACATTATGATGTTAATAAAACCAATATGTTACTTCATCTTTTACACGTTATGCTAGAATTATCTGCTAGGAATATTGAAACCTTACTGTCATCGTTCTATAATGTATTAAACCTCACGATTTCTGCATCCGTTCCGTTTAAGCAACCTCGCCCTCGAAGCAAATGCGCGCCATGGTTTAACAAGAGTATTAAATTAAATTTTACAAAAAGAAAAATCTTTTTAAAAAAATTTATGAAAAGTGGTTTTGCGTATGACTATTTGGCCTATTCCGTTGTAAGGCATACATTTTATTATTTCAAGCACCAATGTTATTGCTGATACGTTCATTACTTGTTAATTCTCAATATTTTTATAAGTTTGTCAGTTCCAAAGAAAAATCCCCATGTATCCCTCGCAAGATTCTTTCAATGGCTCCGAGTCCTCTAGTGATATTGAAACCTCAAATCTCTTTGCTGAATATATCCGACGCAATTTTTTCAACTGCTGGTTTCGATGGAACTGTTAGCTATCCGCATCTGATAAGTAACCCGGTTTCGATTCCTACCCTCGTTATTTCAGAAAACGACATTTTACGTGGGTTGAGGTCTCTAAAGTATAGTTGTGCTCCTGGGCCTGATGGCATTCCATCTTGTATGCTCAAATCATGCTCTAACGAGATTTCAAAGATTTTTAATCAGTTCTTGACGTCAGGTGTTTTCCCTTTGCGTTGGAAGAGTACTTTTCTTGTTCAGTAATGTTCAGTAATGTGGATACAGACACCACCTTGAGAACTATAGAGGCATCGCGAAGTTGAATGTCTTACCTAATTTATTTGAGCGCATTGTTACTCAGTATCTAGCTTTTGCTATGAAATATTATATTTCTTTATTTCAACATCGCCTTCTGAAAGGAGGATCAACTGTTATGAATCTCTTAAAGTTTACTTGCCATGTTTTCAAGGCGATGTGTATTTACACCCTACACCACTTGTGGCATAGGATATATTGAATTTTTTGTGGACGTAAATAACGCGCAGAGACGATTAATAATTTGGCACCGATCTAAGTCCGTCCGTCTATTCATCTGATGTCTGCCCATGTAGTTCTGTGTTCATGCTACAGGTCACATTTTCAGAGATATTTTCATGAAATTTGGTACACTGACATGTTTTGCGCAAGGACAAATGCTATTGGAACCACTTTCTCGCTAGAAGTGACTAAGTGATAATATTTCGTCATTCTAAACTGGTGTGAAAGCTTCGGACCGACTGGGGCAATTTTTTAAATTCCCTCTCATATAACCATTCGTACGAAAACTAAATCTTTATATCGCAAATAGGTTTAATTTCCAATATGGCATGGTGAAAATTGGTGCATAATAATAAGTTGACAAAAGATCAACCTCACCAAATTTGAACCACGCAAGTCTATTTTTTGGGCACTATCGAAGTCTCGTGAAATGTAAACCATTACACACAATCAAACCTAATTGTTAATGTTTTATGATGAAAATTTGGTCATGATAGTAATATGACATAAAAACTAAGTGGACTAAATTTGAACCGCAAATGTTTATTTCTTGGACCCCACCCCATATAAAATTTTTCATAAATAGTAAACCTTTCAAAAAAGATTTAATTCTTAATATTTTGTAGAGGAAGTTGCTTCATAGTAGCAAATGAACCAAAGAAATTAATATTAGGGCATTTGAGCCACATAGACCAATTTTTTAGATCCCAACTTACACAAAGATTATTATGAAAAGCAAACTCTTATATGGAGGGAATATATAATTTCTAGGTTTCTATGGGGGAAACTGAAAAATAGTGAAATTATTGGGAGATAAATTAAGCTTGCTCAATTTAGACCACATCATATGTTGCTCTGGACATCCCCAAACACATGGGTTTTCATGAAACATACGTTTTTGGATGAGAATAATGTGTAATTTTTGGTGTCTTCATTTTTACACTATTTATTAATAACATTAGGACTATTTATTAATGATACTTGAAAACATTTCAAATTTCGTTGAAAGCGACGCATAAACTGGTGATCGCGACACAGGATTCAAACAAAATGAAAGACTCTATTCATTTATTATATTTGATAAAATTATTTAATATTTATTTCTGCACATTTAATCCAAAAACAATCAGATTCAATTACAGAAAATTACAAGTATTTGCAGAAAATTCTTTCGAAAACAATAAACAAAAAACATTGATTAAAATTTTTTAAACACTATTAAATCGCTTTTCAAACTTGAGCTTATTTAATATAGAATTTAATATAGAAGTTTATAACTTCTTATAACAAGCTGTGATACAAATATATACATTTAAGTAAATTATTATTGCCGCAAGCAATACTCCTTATTTCTTAAATATATGCATATCATGTATTTATTACAAATTGTTTAAAACTAAGATGTATATAAGTGAATAAATATTTTCAAAATATTTTTTAAAACTTTTTTAATTTTCTTGTTTAATGGAACACGGTTCTACGCAGTTACCCGAATAACAATCATTTGCAAGACGCTGTTGCGTAGGTGATTCGGCTGGGCTGGAATAATTTTGAGATGATGAAGGGCTCACTGATTCCGTATTGCTCGATCGATTAAATATGGGTGAAGCGGAATCTCCTTTTTTTTGTTTAACGCGACGATTTTGAAACCAGATTTTTACTTGTTTCTCCGAAAGACGCAGGCGATTAGCTATTCCTATGCGTCTAAGGCGAGAGAGATAAGAATTTATCGAGAACTCACGTTCCAGCTCCAATAGCTGCGAACTTGAGAAAGCTGTGCGTATACGTTTACTTGAATCAGCATAATCAGAAACTACGGGAGTAATGTCCATTGAAATGTTGGTCGTTCTGGGATTGGGTGTTTCCCCGATCGATGGTGAACAAGACGCTTGATTTTTGAGCGGTGAACTTCCCGGCGAACAAGATGAATTGTATTTAAATCGTTTACTAGTAATGGAATCCTCACTGTGCGAATATTCTGGAGCAGAGCTGTATAATGAAGGCGGTGTACGATAAACCGTTTCAGATTGTGGAAATATGGGCGGTAATATTGGGTCAACAGTTGGTGTGGGCACTCCGCCAGGGACGTTATTTAAAACGGAATAATATTTACGTTTATGAGAATATAAATTGTTGCAGGAATGATGTTGTTGATTATAAGACTGTGATTGGAATGCGGCGGCGGCAGCAGCAGCATCTTGTTGTTGCTGATGTTGCAAAGTTAGAGAAAACAAATAGCTGCCTACATAACCGCCCGGGTAGGATAATATAGGGAAATTGGGCAACATAGCCGCGGCTGCAGCAGCGGCTGCTGCTTGTGCTGTCGTTGGATGAGTGACCGCAGCTCTCGCCATCCCAGGTGAGCTTAGAGTCTCTTTTTTACGATCAAGTTTTGATATGTTATCACTTAATAATGAATCCACTAAAAATGAACGCGACATTTTTGCTTAATGTAAAATATTTCTTCCTTCTACAAAGTTATGTTAACGATCGCAAACAAAATATAACTGAGACTCTCTTGTGCAAAGGTTTGAGTTTATATATCTACCCTTCGTGTGATACTACTACTTACCTGGCATTGCCTTAAAAAAAAGACCGAGAAACTACCCTTAACTGGCTTACTGTTATCGTTAACGTTGTTAATGCTCATCGATTGTAATAGTGCAAATGCAGTCGCTTCTTAATTTCCTACCGCAACAATTTACGATTTGAGGGTTGCTTTAACACAACAACACCAACTCGAGTCCATAGCACAAGTCCACCATTGTACAAAAGAAAAAAGAACAACAAACCCCGAACTCTATCCCTAATGATTTTTAATTGTTATCAAAATTTATGCTCCTCCCTAAGTCATGTTATGTTAAAGGTAAAACAAAACTTGAACAGATTAATTTAGTAAATCTTTTAATTTTTGTAAAAGCATCAAACCTATACATCAACGCATGCTATCAGACTTATTATGTTTGCATCTCAGTATTTTTTTTTTTTATCAAGTCCTGAAGAGATCTTCTCTATAACCAAATATCGGGTTATTATATGATATGATTGTAACTATGGGGCTGAAAAGCATCCAATAGATTTTTTTTTTAAATTTGATCAACATAAACCGCGAAGTTTTCGCGACACGGAATATAAAATCAAACTGAATAGCAAGAAATTCAACGCTTTGTTTCGTCATTAATACTGAAAGTGGGCAAGATCGGTTCTCAGGTATATACATGCCGAATGAAAAAATAAAGTTGCTTATGATTAACTAGGAGGATGTTTAAAAATTCTCAACTTTTAACATCTATCGATATAGTACCGTAACGAATATGTACATTTCGCAAACCCTTACCTTTAAAGGCTTTATACCTGTCGTTAATTATGATATATACAAATCCAATATTTTCTGTTTTATGCAACGGACCTACAAGGTCTAATAAAGTAAGGCAATCTTTTCAAAGAAAACCAAGTAAGAACATTACAATCGGCCGCTATCGGCCGCTATCGGCCGCTTTAGTAATAAGTAAGTGCACATTATTTTCCAGTAAAGTGATAATTGTCATGAAAGCCTGCATATTGGAAGGTTCGATTTTCTTTTCACATAAAAATCTGCGTTTCGTGATAACACCTATATATGTTGAGGTTCTAAGAAAATGGACATATGTGGTCCAAAGTCATTACAGTCAATTTTTCGCTGAAACGCTACTGTGAATTAATTTTCATCATAGAATATTAAAAATTAAGCCTTTTTCCGAATGGCTTACTAATCATGGGATATCTTATGTGGGTACGGGCCAAAAAATAGAACTATGTGGTTCCAATTGAGTCCATTTAATTTTTTTATTTAATTACTATCATAAAAAAATTTTCATCACAAAAAATGAACAGTTAGGCTTTTTGGCACATAAGGGTTTGCGTTTCATGAGACTTCCAGTAAATTTTTTATGAAAAACATCCAAATTTATTATTTTAATAACCACTCTCTCAGAAATGCTTTAAATTTTCTCATGTTAATTACAGATAATGGAAAGATATATTGATCCAAATAATAGAAAGAGTATCTAGCCGCAGATGGGACCGCATATAAATGTGATTTCAAAAAAATGTATGATAATTTGAAAGTCGACAACTTAAAGATTAGATATTTTATACTTTATCTGTTTTTTCTTTGCAAAGTAGCATTCGTTTGAGGCGTTATAGGTTTTGTTATAATGGGATCGTGTTCTTCGCATATTTAAGTTGTAGCTATCAACTAATGTTCGTTATATTGATTACGACATTAAGAAATAATGAGCACAGTTTAAGGAATAGAAAGCAGTAAGCTTCACTCGGGTGAAAAAGTGGCCGAGTAGGTAAGAATCGCGACTACTCAGTGTTTGTGAGTACGAATTTCAGTGCTGTAGTGAGTGATCACTCGGTAAAGGCATACCGATTGACTGCGGCACTTTCCTCCTTTGTTCACTCCCTACTGACCGTCCCCGTGTTACACGAATCCTCCCGAGTGATTGGTTCTATTAAAATAACTCTGAACAGACATCTTAATTAAACCTGCACGTGTATCTGAGTTCAATGTGTGCACTTAAAAAATGAATTGTTCAATTATCAAGCAGTATATGAAAGTTAGGGGTTTTTTCTTTTTGAGCGATTTTAACTATAATGATACATTCTCTCCCTATCCCTCTCTCTTTCTGTTAGACAGCCCACAAAGCTCGCTAAAGCTCCTAATGGTGAAAAGAACCGACACAACTTTTTAAGCAGCCACCAATTCGAACAAGTTTCGATTAAAAACTTATGAACTGCATTACATATAGGGCCAGCGCAAGAAAATGATACTGTAATCAGCTTCAAAATTTTTTGGTAAAAATCCTTAGGACTATTTTCGATTATATTGACAACTAATGCAGAAATCCCAATTTTTCACAAATTGACGAAATTTGTCTTTTACGAAGCTAACAGATATGATTGTTTCCAAATCCTTGCTAAGTCGTTTAATCCTGATGACTTTTCCCTCACAATGTCATAGGATTTTTAGCACAATAACAATGTCCCCCTGTAAATACGCTCTATTCGATTTTTTGTCTGGTGAAATTGTCTGCATTTTTGGCGGTAAAATTTTCTTGTTAACTTTGCTTACTATGTAATCTCGTTATAGATAAATGTTTACAATAGTATTTAAGGATTTAGAAAAATATCCTTAATTTCTATTCTTTCTCCAAGAAAAAAAAAAGTATTTCGTACGCATTGAGAAAAATATTGTCACATTCTTTACAAATAATCACTCGTGTTCAATTTATTGCATCAATGAATAGTGTAACGAATTTCACAATATATATAAGTTGTATGTAGTTATAGGTAAAAAGGACACGCACACGCATACAGATAGATAGAGAAAAAGAGATTTTTTGTGTCTTTGTTGTTTTTATTGTTTGTACTAATGTTATTTTAGCACATGTTAAGTGGCTTTAAAACCCTATTAATTGTGTAATTTGAACAAAAAGTCAATAAAACATTAAGAAGCAGACAAATTTGTCATGGAGGTGGGTCAGCCATTTCATCAATCTATCTCTCATTGAGTGCTACATTCACACATCATTCGTGCACTCACTTAAAAAAGGTACTTAAAAACGTTTAATAATATTTTTTATATAAGTTTGGTCTCTTCTTATAGTTTTCTTACCTTTGATTCATTTATTCGTATATTTTTTTCTTCTTTTTCTTCTTTTCTCAATCGATTATTGCTTACAAAGCAATTGCATTTCGGGCCAATTCTTTCAAATATTTGCTATTCGACTGTATTACAACATCTGCCTTAGATTTTGCAAAATTTTATTCCATGCTATGAATTTTTTACAGGTTGCACGTTTGCCAGTCTCGTGCTTGACCATTTTGTGAACTAATTTCCATTTGTCCTTTTGTCTGTTTTAATTCCTTTCCTTTTTTATATTTTTTTTTCCCTAATTCTTGCCTACAAGTGTTGGCCAGTTTTTATTCGGAACTTCCGCTTTTTACAGACAATCGATATTGTATGGAAAATTTTCAATTCTTTAGAAAATACATTGTGAACACGTGTAGAATAGCTTTAAATTGATGAATTATGTTTGTATGCAAATAACCATCTAAACGATGTGTGCATGCCAAGCATTTGAAATTGAAAAAAACAAAGTGGAAGTAGAATACAATATTTTTCGAATCTCTTATTACTAACTGGAAGAATTGAATTTTTAAAATACATCAAATATTACATCGAAAATGTTCGAATCTATGTCAACTTTCAAGATTTTTTGTATTATTCTTATCAAAATATTGAGAAACACTTCCGAACGCTATTACGAAATTCACGATTGGGTAAAGATATAGGTACATGCTTGTATCGTACCGCCTCAGAATCTCTCTTTGTTTTTCTTACACAATGATTAAGAATAATTTACATCCTTTCATAGGATCAAAGTACAATTTTCTATAGGAACAAGTAAGAAAATTGTATTCTGTTCTGACCAAATTTTTTAACCACCGTTATGTTATAAATGATTTAAGAAAAAGGAAAAATATAAATATGCACACTCCATAACATTAGGTAGCTGTGGCTAATTTTTTTAAATCTACACCACTTGTTGTACAGGGTATATTAAATTAGTGGGGACGCATGTAACAATCAGAGAGACTTAAGATCGATCCATCCTTCATTATACCGATCGATTCAGAATCATTTTCTAAATTGATCTAAGACTGTCTATCCGTCTATCTATCTGTTCGTCTGTCTGTCTGTCCGTCTGTCTGTTTGTCCGACTGTCTGATTGTTGTCCATATATTTTTGTGTTCAGTTTGAACAGCCGTAATTTTTAAGATATTTTGAAGAAATTTGGTACACAGACGTATTTCGTCCCAAGAACGAATGCTGTTGATATTATTTTGGATCGATTCACTTTCTCGGAAAAAATGGCTAAGTAGTAGTGTTTCGGCATTCCAAATTGGTGCAAAAACTTTTGACCGGCTAGGGCAATCTTTTCAAACCCCTCTCATGTAATCGTTCCTACGGTAATTGAAGCTTTATATGGTAAAAAGATCGAATTACCAATATTTCATGGTGAAAATTAGCTCATATTAGTAAATTGACAAAGAAACCTACCTTACCGAATTTGGACCACGCAGGTCTATTTTTTGGATCCCACTGCATGCAAGGATTCTCATGAAACGCAAACTCTTATATCCCAAAAACCCTAACTGTTCATTTTTTGTGATGAAAATTTGTTTATGATAGTAATTAAGTAAAAAAATTAAATGGATCCAATTGGAACCCCATGGGTCTATTTCTTGGGCCGACTCCACATAGGGCATCCCATGAGTAGTAAGCCCTTCCGAAACAGGCTCAATTTTATAATATTTTATGATGAAAAGTAATTCATAGCAGCGTTACAGCGAAAAAATCAACTGTAATAACTTGGGCGCTATCACGAAACGCAGATTTTTAAGTGGAGTGAAAATCGAACCTTCCAATATGCAGGCTTTCATGATAATTATCACTTTGCTGAAAAATACTGTGCACTTTTGAAGTATTATTACCAAAACAAGCGAATAACTGTACTAGGCGAAGTGGTATAGGGTATGTAAGAGTTGACGTTGCCCGGCTATAACGTTCTTACTTGTTTTTTAGAATAATTTTGTGGAAATTTATATCGTATGTTTGGCGTAGTTTATGAACCGTGAATAAACGACACGGAAAGTAAAGATGTTCTCAGTTTTGAGAGTGCAGACGTGTGGGCGTCGTCGGCTTGTTCTTTGACCATTTTCAAACTCTTTTGCAACTTTTTAAGCTATGTCTGCTTCTTTGCGAAAGGTATAATAAAATTACTGCCTATCTCAAATTTTTTCTGAGATTAGATATTAATATTTCGTCAAACAAAGAGTTCATGGCGTGTTTTGCCAGGTTCAAAAACCAATCTTATCTTCATTAAACCAAATATAGGCCATTTTTCCATTCTTCTGGTAAAATACTTATGCCATCACAGTAAAATTGACAAGAAAGAAACTGAACCAAACGATATTCACCGGCCTCTTTTAAATCCAGCTTTACGCTGTTAAGAGAATTAGAAACAGTCACACCCCACACCTCAGGTGGACAATAAAGCTCATGCAAACTATCACTTCTGTCACGATGGGAACTCGTGTCTCAGTCGAAGCACGATTTCATAAATCACAAGCTTCTATCAATTCTAGTTGCTGACGTAAAAACAGAATCCGGAATTCTGAAACGTCCAACACATCGTCTTGCGTTACTTTCTATTGAAGATAATTCTGAGTCCCATTCAAACGGAGTACAAGCTAGGTCAGAGCAAAATATTAAACCTGAACGCAAAAGAATGGAACTTTCAGGAAGTAATTTAGCACTCACGCTTCTGGCAATGTTACTAATACCCCCACTCGCATTATGTAACCTGGTAAACAAACAAAAAATTGGATCAAAATTGGGTATCCATT